TAACATTACAGTCCCTGAAACACAAATCTTCTAGTAATTATAAAACAGGAAGGTCAGAGTGAGAAATCCTCAGCTTAGAAGACCTGGGTGAATTTTAGGGTCCAATAGGACATGAATACGTTAGAAACCTGGAGTCTTTTTTTTTTTTTTTGTAAAAATAATGGGGAAAACAGGCTGACATCTATTTTTCACTGTTATCTTGGATTCCCTGGTGAATTGATATCCAAGTTTGTTCTTATAGGGAGATTCAATTGACCTGAGGAATGGACCTCAGCTTGGCCAGCTGAGAGAGTTCACCTGATGAACAGCTGCTCTCCTCTGCTGAGCCTGACAACACTGTGGGGAAATAAAATCCAGGCTGCCTTTCCCACAAGAATACAACATAAGAAACTCTTGAAAACTTACTCTTTATGCCAAGGAAACTAGGATTTATGCAATATGGAGAATTAGGTAGGACTTGCAACCATAAAAAGACTATTATTAATATAGTTTAATCAGAATATTAATAATGTAGTTAGATCTTTAAGAACATGCTGCTGAACTCTTAACTGTTTTACAAAACATCCTGAGTTAAATAATTTATACATTATTTGATATGTGGGACAAATTTTAATGTTGAAGGTATTTGAACAAAATGATCTCAAAAGAGGATGGATGTTTGATTAAACCAGGTAAATACTGTAAGGGGTGAATAATAGTCCAAGTGTAGTTGTCTGGCTACAAGTCAAGTTGCTGTGTTCTTTATGTGAAATTTGTGAACTGATGTGAATTACTTCCTGAATAAATGGAGAACAAAGGAAGGCATACAGTATAACTCAGAAGTTGCATGGGTACATTTTTCCAAGCACAATGAAATCGTCATGATGGAATCAGTATAAAGCAGTCATGGGTGGATTTAGTTACAACCACATAGAAACTCTTGGCAATTTGTGAAGATTTTAAGTGAAAAGCCAAAAAACTAAAACTGTGACTTCATTTAATGGGAGTGGTTGTTGGCTTAAGAGCTTCAGGAATTTTAAGACTTTCATCATTCTAGCCCAAGTAGTAGGCAATGAAGCTGTGAACCTTCTTCCTGGTTCTAAATCAATGGTTTTTAAGAAGCTTACTCCCTGAATCAGATTTCAATGAAAATAGTCTCTTTTTAAAAGCAAATGCATGCTAGAAAAAGCACAACCTTAACATTTTAACATTGTAAAAGACAAACTGGGATACTTGGTGTAAATGCTAAGAGAGATTTCATTATGCCAGGGTTTCTGTTGAGATGGTTTCTTTTTTTTTTTTTTTTTTTTTGCTTTTAGTGTATTGTTTACAAAACTCCGTGGTTTGAATGATCTGCCTTAATCCTAGTTTTCTCATAATCACCTTTATTTTTATGGAAAACATGGTAGCCTCCAAGACTTTTCAGAACACATAGTCTTCTAGCATTGATGCCTATTTATATTTTCATGTGAAATTCCTTCAGTAGCTTCTAAAGTGAGTTAATTTGCTGGATGACTACATTTAGTTTGTAAAAATTCCCTTGCCACTAGGAAGAAATTCCTTTCCTTCACAACTGGTCATCTGACTACAATAGTGCACCCTCAGGTGAGGGCACTTTTGCCAATCTGTCCAAAGTTATGGTATATGGTATATGGTAATCAGTGTTCAAATGTGTTAGGAATCTCAAATATTAATTCTCCCTAATTCTTTTTGATTATTTTGGGAATGTATAAATTGATATGTATTGTGTGGATTTGTATTCAAAAAGGATGTTACATTGGTAATTATGCCTTATCTGGTATGTGCTGAATTTTAACATACACCGTGTGTTCCAGCTCCATCCAGCTACCCACCTGACAAAATGCTGAGGGACTCGGTTTTTGAGTCACACTCCATTTTTCCTCTACATTTCTACTCCAAGAATGTAACCAAGGATAATAGCTAATTTTACATGTGCAATATACAATGAGACCTTCTTAGATAACTATAAAACTCATCTTACATTGTCAGTGATAGAAGAATATCACTCTATATATTGCCCAAAGAGTTTTAATTTTTGAAGGCCAGCAAAAAATTTTTGAAAGTAATAATCGCTTTATTATTCCCATTACATATGTTGAACTAGGCCAAGTACGGGAATGAATGAATGTTAACCACATACATATTTTATGGGTAAGGTTTTTGTCCACTTCTGTAAGGTTGATGATTTCTTTCCACATATAAATGGAGAGTGAGGACATGAGCCTCTGGCTCCTTTCTTTTTTGATGCTTATTCTTCCCCCGTTAAGTTTTTGCAAACTTTACACATTCTCTTAACCCCTGGATCTTTGGTAGTTAATTGGAAGAAAGTAAGTCACTCTTTATAAATAACACCAAAGTTGTTTCTTGTTATCTTTTCTCTTTTACATCTGAATCTTGGATGGAAATAATTTAAAACAAACTGAGAATGTTTATAAGTTAAAAAAATAATATAGAAGTGGTTATTGAATCAGCATATTAGATGTCAGCCTTTCTATTTGCTTGTCACACAATGGGAACGGCTGTTTACTTTTTATTCTACAAAGGACAGGCCTACTTTCTGTCTCCAAACAGTTAAAGGAATTAGGTGAGAAATTATTCCAAATGAACTGTACACAGTTTGATTAGCCTAGCTGCAGAGTATATTTTCTGAAAAAAGAGTCATCAACATGCGGAGGTCAAATGCAATCTCATTGAATAATAAATTGGAACCTCAAATGCTGCATGCAGTAGCATATTAATACATATGATGCTTGTTAGCACCACAGTAAGTATTTTAATTGTCTGGATATTTAGGGCAAGTTACCTTAAAGCTGCCCAATTTAACATCACAACATTGCAAAAAGGTTCTGTTTAAATGGGTCAGAAATGATACTCAGACATGAAGGAGAACAGACTTTTGTTAAACTGATCACAATATTACTTGTTAACATCTTTACACCTTATAATGTTTTTTCATGTATATAATCACACTCCATCCTCATCACAGACATGTCAGGAAAGGGGTACAATATATGTCCAGATATAACTTTTACATAAAAAATGGCTTAATCAGGGCATCTATTTTGTAATCATAAAAAGAAACATAGACAATTTTATGATGAATTTATATATTATGTATGTATATATACATATATGTACACATTTGGAATGAAACAAAAGAGTATTTGAAAATGACAAAATAGGTCAAATATATCTTTTCCTACTATATAATAATGTAGCCCATTATTAGAAATGAAAAAATACACATAGGACAACAATCCCTTTTTTCAAGTGGAGTTAGTATATTTTCAAAACCTTGGGTTTTATAGCCTCAAATGTTTAGTGTCCTTCCAAATTGTTGATCAATTATTAGAATGAGTATGCATATACGTAAAAACCAATCTAGAGATTCTCATTTGAAAAACGCATAAGAAAAGTATTTCAAAAGAAGGGGAAAATGAAAGTGCTTTCCACGTGAACTTGCATTTTTGTCAGTGAGACCTTGAAGGAATCTCAAACTAGTGCTTCCACCATGTTATTAGGAATAAAAATGTTTTTAGCCAATCTGTGGTAATTTTATTTCACTTCCAAAGAATTATTCTATAATTCTTTTCATGAATGTGAGAGTAAGTATGTTGTATTTGTTGTGTTGATCACAAAGTTTTAAAACAGAAAAGTGGATCTCTTCTGTGAGGAGATAAAACACTCTGATTCAACAGCAAAAGTGTCTGCAGGCATTGATCTCTGAGTACCACTTGACCGATTCCTGGAAATATTTCCTCCTCTTGGCTTCAGTTTGTATGTGGACAAAGAAGGCAAGAGGAGCTAATAAATTAGAAGCATGTAAGATCTGATAGCATAAGTGATTGACACCAGAGGTTGCTAGGTACCATAGATGCTTGTCTGAATCCTTTACTTATTAAAAAATAAATAAATAAGTAGAAGTTAGCAAAACAATGAAACAACAGATGTGCAAGCCCGAATTTAAAACCAAAGTCTTCCTTCTTCCCTTGTCTTTCCTCTTCCCCTTTCTCGCCTGACTCCAAGCACACCTTTCCAGCTCATTACTGCAAATCATTTGAATTCCAGCACACAATGTCACCTGCTCTGTAATCTGATTACTTTATGGAGGAATTAGTATGTATATTTAATGTAGAAGGGTTTTAATCTTGATGAAAATAATCCTAAGGAACTCTGATAGGGCTGCTCATATGTCTGGCAGATATGCCAGTAACATGCTAATAAATGACAGCTGATTTATGTATCTGGATTCTTTTATTTATAAAAATAGCAAGTGGACTGATTTTTGATATTAATAATACAAGTGAATCCACTTTGATTAGACTTCTGTGGAGAGCTGTGCATATCCGGCATTACAATTAAATCTTGTGATGTGGAATGGGAATGACATGCTAATGAAGCAAGCCAGTGAGCCTGAACCAGGAGTGTCCAACATCATTACGGCATATCTTAGATGAAGAGTAATTATAAGAGGAACACTGAAATGTCATTAAAAATCTTCACTAAGAGATTTAACCTACTATTTCATACTAATGCTGGATTTTTTTTAAGCAACATAACTGAACACAAAGTTCCTTTACAGAATTTGCAGGAAGAGATTTTTAAATAGGTTTGGATTTAAGAAAAGAAACAATCTAGTATCCTAATTTAATTTGCTACATCAAAATTCAATGGTAGTATATAATTGAAATCTCTTTTTAATAATTTCAGATGAATTAGCAATTAGGACTTGATCCGATTTCCATGAAATTTATTAAAATTGAGGGTTGAAGCCCTTGAAGATTTTTATTCTTTTCACTCCATTAGCACAATACATCTAGTATAAACGACTCTGTCAGTTAGTATGGTACATTCCTTGTTTATTTATGACAATTTGTCTCAAGGAAGTTCAATAGAGGTAAGTAATGCATATTCATAGAATTTAGATTGTAATATATGAATCATGATAGCCCTCAACACTTAAATGCCCTTCGTTTTTGGAAAAGATCTACTTCCCTAACCTTCATGACCTGATCTGCTTCTGAGTGATCCTCATTCAGGTTGTGCCCCTGTAAGTCACAGTATCCCTGACCTCCTTGAGAGGAAGACATCTTCATGACAACTTCATGACAACTCGGCACTATTTGAACAGGACACAGAGAAAGATAAAAGAGTGCCAACTCTCAACAACATAAAATGTGGACATTGAACACTGACTTCAACTTCGTAAATCCAGGAGCCAGAAAGTATAAAGAAATGTGACAGAAATTGTAGTACCTATCGCACTGCCTTGGCGCCCAGCAGGAAAAACAGTGCTTCTCAGTGGCAAACAAATAAATTACGCACACGCTGAAAAACCAAAAGAAATATGCCAAGCATTTGTTCCCCTTCTCCAGGCTTTTTGTGAAGAACTGCAATTATGTTTAACAAAAACAGCATAGAACAAGTTGGCATCACTCTGAGACATAAATGTGTTTCTGTTCCAAATATGTAGCATTTTCAGAATGTTTGTATGTATTATGTGCAATTTGTTCAGTGTATCATTCTGGGAAAACCAGGTCCTGGCTGGATAATTATGAGAAAGGTAAACAGTATTTTCTGGCTGTGAGCTTCCGTTTCTAAAGTTGGAGCAGAAAATTCTTATTATTTACCTTTTTGAGGAAACTACCAAAACAGGCCTTCCCTGTTTACCTTCATCAAATTTGATTTTTACAAATGAGCTCTCATCATTATTTTGTATAATGAGCCTCTTGACGAAATCTATGTGGGAAATGGGTGACTTTCAAGTAGAGTGTGAATGAGTAAAAAATATTTCAGCTCACTAGGTTTCTAAAGAGAAAATAGCACTGACTCCTTAACATTCTTATTAGAAATTCCTGAGATTTTCTACATAGTTAAGTTTGGTCAACAAGACTTTACCTGCACAGTTCAGAGCAGAATAAAAGCACATAGCAATAAATTATTTGATATTTTAGACACTGTGATAGAGATAGGCTCTTGGTGCTATGGGAGGATCATGAGTAGAGCATGTGAGTAACAAGTCATCCTGGTTGAACGAAATGTGAGTTGAGGATGGCTGAGGTAGGCAATAAGTTTAAAAGGGCAGTGGAAAACTTATGAACAAAGATATGGAGACCTGAATCTAAATGGGGTGTGTTGTAGAAATATCAGGGATAACACCTACCAAGAAGAGAAATAATGTGAGCATTCAATGGCCTTCAGATCATGAAGAACAAAGTAGAAATAGTAACAGATTGAAGCAGGAAGCAGTGTGAGGGCTATGGCTCAGAGGGCTTTATATATCAGGTTAAGCAAAGTAGACTCAATTCTGTAAATGATAGGTAGCCACTGGAGGCAGGGAAGAGCATGCCCAAGAACCATTTTAGGTAAATCAATCATTCATCTGCTTTCATTTCTATTTGAGCATGTGTGCCTTTTGAATGCTCTTTCTCAAATTTAACAGAGTCCATTTCTGGTAGTTTGATGACTAATGGAAATTCAGTGGAGATTCTACCAATAATACTAAAATAGCATTTTGAGGAATATGGATCTACTACTGTTATCATGATGGCTATTCCATTAATCTTCCTCACTGCTCTAGTTTCTTTAATAGATCTTTTAGTTATAACTTTTTAAGCTTTCTTTATATTCAAAAAGCCAACTGAAACCACCACAGGAGAAAGAAAGGAACGCAAGAGGCTCTTCACAGGAAGAGCTATACATTTGGAGAGTAGAATTGGTAAATATCCTTCTGCAGGACCATCATGTGATTTTAGAAAGATCTCTTCTAGATGTTGACCATTTTGGGAAAGCTGGGTAGAAGAAGGGTAGACAAAAGAAAGGAAAAAAATCATCAAAGAAAATAATAAGAAAGTCAACACTGAGAAAATTAAAAAACAACAATATAGTTCAATGAAAAAGGCAAAATTGTCAATCATTGGTGGTTTTGTAAATGGTCTTCAAAATGTCATTTTCTTGTTTTGGTGGTACTGGGTTTTGAATTCAGGGATTCATGCTTGAATCACAACTCCAGCCTTTTTTCTGTGGCTATTTTGGAGACAGGGTTTCACTTTTTGACCAGGCCCATCTGAACCACAATTCTCCTATTTTCTACTTGCCTCAATACTGAGACAACAGGCACATACCACCATGCCCACCTGTAAATTGAGAAGGAGTCTCAAGAACTCCATGCCTAAGCTGGCCTCAAACTGTCATTCTCCCAATCTGGCCTCCCAAGTAGCTAAGATTATAGGCATAAAACCATTAAATACTTAGGTATTTAATATGAAAAATAACTGTGTCCTTCCAGTTTTTATTTTATTTAACACACTAAGTATAAGGAAATCAATTGTACTTAATTTATAAAGGAAACATCATCTAGAATGGCCTATTAGATACAATTCAAATCCTTTTTTAACATACAAGGGATTTACACAATTCTGCTTTGATTTTTCCATCTGGCCTGCTTTCTGGAAGTTGCCAGGTAGAATTTCCCAAGTTGCATTCTCTATGGGTAGAAGGAGAGAAGACAGAGTTGAACGTAGGTAGAAAAAAAACTGTGAAGGTATTATCCAGCTACTAAAAACAGAGAACAGAAAGAAGAAGAGAAAGAAGGTGAGAACCCATCAATGAGACAAAAGCCAGAGTTAGCTAAGCATAGAGTATATAGAAAAAGCCTTTCACCAACAGCTCCAGATAAGTTATCCATATTGCCCCATCAGCCACTTCCTTCCTTACTCCACTTCAATAAACTTTTGAGTTGAGCTGTGTAAATCATATTTCTTTTCTTGAAGATTTATATAAAGAAATTGTAGCCAGAAAATGTTTGATCTGGGAATGATAAGATCCAGGAGAAAAAAATTTTAATTCAATATGTATTGAGAATATAGAAACAATTGACATTCAGATATATACAGGGAAAAAAATCAAGTCTAATATGTATGGACTCACAAGAGAAAACCATACTTTAAAAACTAACTAGTGCTCCTTTTTTAATGGTGTAAGGTTATTTCCTCCCCATAAGTATAAAATAGGAATTTACAATTTTAGCAGCAAACAATTTGTCAGTAATAGCAGCAGTTAGCATTTACACCAAACTAATAAAATAAAAATGAAGGGAATGTGAGCCAGTTAGATTCAACATAAATTCACACACAGGGAAAGAGACCATGTAAACATAGAACATACAAAATTATCTCACCCTTTTTCTCATTGCCTTCATTTTAAAAGAGGAAAGTCCAAAGCTCCTTTCCTTTTACATTAATGGAAACTACATTTTTATTCTAAGAAAATGACAACAAAGTGATGTAGCATTATATTACACATCAATTAACCACATTTTTTCCAACATGAATATGACACCATCACATAACATCACTCCCCAAATATTTTTTAATTCCTTTTCTCAAAATATGTATAAACATGCACTGAATACAGATTGTGTCAAGTGCAACTTTAGAAATTTGAAAACATAAAAGGACCTTATATAAGAAAAATGTTATATGTTTATAACATTATTTTCTCTTTCTGGACTCACAGGAAGAGGATATTGTTGCTGAGATTTTTAATGTGGCCATATGACTGAATTTTGGTCTATAAACTAGGGCATGTGATATAAGCAGCGTCTGGTCCTGTCACTTAAAAGCATCCCTCATAATATTTGCATCTCTGTTCTACCTGGAAGGCTCATTGATCAGAAATTGAGAAGGCTCACTCTACCCACATCAGACTGTGAGGCAAAAGAGACTTTTATTGTCTTAAACTACTGGGATTTGGGGATTTATTTGCTATCCATTGCATAGCTTTTCTTAATCTCATAAAGAGAAGAAAAAATACTGAAGAATAATTGTAATATAAAAAATGTGGAGATATAGTAGTATATATAAAGAGAAAAATTGTTAAGTACATATTGGCTGAGGGCCTGATCAGGGATGGTTTAAATTGTGTTTGAGTTATGGTACTATTTTTGTAAGACAGAACAAAACAAAAATTGATACCGAATGAAATGGTCTATCATTGCTCTAATGTCCTTCATTAAGAAATGACAGTGATGTCTTCTCAATCAAAGGCAACCAACATGAGGAAATCTAAAAAAAAAAAAAAGTTTCAAAACCTAAATTCAACATCGTGCTGAAGCAATATTGGATTAGTGCTTAGCTTACTTAACTGGAAAACTGATTTGACCAGATAATACATTTACTGAGTAATCTGATAGCACTTTTAGTATAAATGAATTCATGGGGAAAAGCACTTAGCACATTATTCAGAAAATGCAAAAATCTTTGCAAAAATAGACCCTTAGTACCTAATGCCTAACAGGTGCTACTTGCAGATGCCAGCTCTTTCCTGATACCTAGGTAGGTTTCAAGGTTAATATAGTGATACCATAATCTCTAGCTGCCAGGGGCAGCTGGAGGTATTTCTCCTGGATATCCTAATGGGTATGTACAAAGTTTCACTAGAGATGAAACAAAAAACTAGCAGCAGAAAAATTGGAACTCATTTACCTGTCAGAGAAAGTACTGTGGTCTCCTCTTCTGTGAAGGTATGAGCTGAAGGCTTTGCTATGAATTGTCAAATCTGCTTTCTAGGAAGACGTTTCAATCGTAATAGAAAGAAGCTGTAAATTTGAGGGGAAAATGAAGACAACCACATTAAAAACAAATGAGCAAGGTGTTAAGGGCCTTATCATTGGAGAGCAAATGATATCCAGTCCTCAAAGAAAGCATCTGGAGTATTGAGTTATAGGAAGATAACGATAACAAAGAAGAAAATTCAGAGCCTTGGGATATTTTAAGGAGCTTGATCTGTGGTTATGACATATTATAGCCCCATCATTTCCAGGCAGAAATGAATGGCGGTTCTGTGGGTTTGAGGCATACATTCTTTCCAAGTTAGACTTGGAAGATGCATTTAGTACAGAGCAGTGGAGATGAAGACGCAGCTTTTTCCTGAGTGAAGTGGACCAGAAGGAAATATTCTCTCTGGTAAAGAATTTCAAGGCATTAAGCAGACCTCAAAGTTAAACTTGAGGTTATGACTTTGAATTGAAGGTTTTCAATGTAATGATCAGCATATGCACTTATGTATATTCCTACTTGATTAAAAGTGTGTCAGA